AGTACACTGAACTTCATGGAGTACTGGACACTGTGAAACTGAATACTCCAGTCCAGTACAGGATAGGATCAACCCAGGGGCACTGTTTCTAGTAATAATAATAATAATAATAATAATAATAATAATAATAATAATAATAATAATAATAATAATAAGGTATAATAATAATAATCATAATTATAAACATACCTGGTGATAACATCAGTCTTAACTGCCATATTGTATGAGAGTTTCTTGCAGAGCACATCAGCAGTAGTGAGGTTGAATGACTCATGAGAACACAAACCATACCAACTGCCATTGACATACACCTAGTAATAAGTATAATATAAATCAGGAAATGTAATTAAAATGGAGAATTCTTTCCTTTTCATTTTTGACAAAATTTGGCCTGAGACCATGTACTATAGTACAGGGACTTTTACCCGAATTTGGAGCAACTTTAAAAATTCATAAAAATCTAATTTTAATTGGAATCAGCTCAAACTTTCTACACAACATAAGAACATGTATATGCATCAGGAAATGTAATAAAAATGGAGAATTCTCTCCTTTTCATTTTGGTAAAATTTGGCCCGAGACCATGTACTATATATAGTACAGTGACTTTGGCCTGATTTTGGAGCAACTTCATCATCAAATTACTTAGTACAAACTACACAAATGAAATACCTGAGGAATTCCTTCAAGCCCATTGTTATCATTATCATTGTTAGATTGTATCCTAACTGATCCTGTATAGTCAGTTACTAGACCACATGATGACTGGTTACCAGTATACACTGCACCAGCAAGACTGGAATTAAACACTAGATGATGATAATAACATACAGTTTATGAATACACAGTTGCCATTACTTACCGCAACTCAAATTAACACTGTTATGAGTGTCACAGTGTTCTGTGTCATTAGTGATGTTGCTGCAGCCAGTCAAACAAACATCATGACCATCACAAGAAGATGAGATGTTCCAAGACTTTGAACCAGTGGATAAAGGACTATTAATTAATAACAATTGATTAATTAGACCTTAATCACAGACAATACAAGTGTACACTATATGTAGTGACCAGTGACCAGTGTGTGTGTGTGTGTCTGGAGGTGAGTATCAGTAATGTAATACCTGAGTCCCTTGATATCTGCCCTCAGCTTCACCTCAAGCAGATATCTCAGTCCTCAGGTATTACATTACTTATACACACACACACACCTTCAGACAGACTGCAGTTACTTACATTTTGTTGAAGCTTTCGTATGATGTGTATCCAATCTGCCTACAAGCAGTATCAGCTGCTCTTTCATTGAAGCCACACCCACTGACCGGCCTCCAGCTACCGTTCATGTATAACTGTAACTGGCCGCTAGATGATGACTCAGCACTATTGCTCGAGTGAGAGTTGTACAATCGAACAGATCCAGAGTACGGTAGGACAAAACGAGCTAATAATAATAAATAAATAATAAAATTAATAATAGTTTAATTAACTCACAGCAGACGAGCCCCACCACCTGATGTGGCTGACAGGTCGTTAAAGAATGCTGACACTGCAATAAGTGATACTCTGACCCAGTGCATATCACATCACTAATGACACTAACATCAGAACCAACACCAAACCTGTAAACAATAAACAACAACAAAATGATAAACAACAATAGTAGCACATGTAATGTTGAGACGTCAAGGTATAGCATTATTACAAGTCCCATATCACCAATATCAATAATAATATCAATAATAATATCAATAATAATATCAATAATAATATCAATAATAATATCAATAATAATATCAATAATAATATCATTAATATCAATACATTATTAGATGTAGTGTACAGGAACCAATGTACATTACACTATGATATAACATTACACACACAAAGGCATCAGTGACACTGTAACAATGCTTTATACTATATATAGTAAGACTGGATCATAACAATACACTAGTTCCCATCTTTGATCTTTACATCATAAACAAGTACATGTACATGTACAGTGTAGCCTCTTTATTAAGGACACCATTGGGCCCACACTACCTGTCCTTAATACATGTACAGTGTAGCCTCTTTATTAAGGACACCATTGGGCCCACACTACCTGTC